AGGAAAGCATAAATTGTAAAATTTATTATTATATTTATTACTCATAATAGATGAAAGTCCCTGACCTAATTTGTCAGAAAGCATGACAGTCTTTGGTGAATTAAGGTTCTGTGAAAGCACTGGTTCAAACAATTTTTCACTATAAGTGGTTTGTATTTTTTCTGTATGGGCTGATGAATGACAGGAATTCTGTGTGATTACAATTTCTTTGTCTTTTCTAAGGTCTTCATTTGAGATGTCCACTGGGCAATTAACTATATTTAACATTTGGTTATTTATTAATGAGTCATAGCGCTCAGCATTATAGTTACATAACTCCACCAACTCTGATGCAGATTTGATGTGCTCATCAATCTGCCTCTGAGCATTGAAATATTTATTTTCTAAAGATCCCATTGATTCATGCAATTGTATGATTTTAGATTGCAATTCTTTAGTATCCCGGTCATACAACTCCCTGCTTTCAATTAACTTATTACTATAAATTTCTATGGAATCCAAAAGATTCATGCGTTCCTTCCTTATGGCAATATTTTTGTAGAAGCTATTATTTTTCTTAATTAATCTATCAGTTTTCTTAATAAATTTATGAATTTTTATATATTTCTTTAATTTCCTACTGCCTAAATTTAAAGGTCTAGGTATGTTAATACTATTGCTACTGGATAGTGACTGTCTTGCTGACTGTATTTCTGAAGATTCCATCAGTTCTTCAAAAAGACTGAGTGTATGTTCCGTTTCTTGCTGTTGTTGCTGCTGAACGAGTTCACTAATATGGTGGTTGGCATCTATGAGTTCCCGTTCCAGCTCGGTAATGCGGTCCAGGGCCCTCTCATATGTGTTGCATTGCTGGTCGAAGGTACTAAGCGTGCTTTTCAGTTGGTCTCTTTCCTCAATGACATCTACATGTTGTGAATGCAGTTCAGCTAATTCAATCTTCAGCTGTGAGTTTCGACTAACAACAGCTTTGATTTCCATTTCGCTATCTTCACGTTCCCGTAGAAGCTGATCACATGTATTCTTCGATTCTTTTAGCTCCAGCAGGACCTGCCTCAACTTCATCTCTGTGTTTTGTGCAACAGCTTTGCGGGTCAGCATGATGATGGTGATAAATACCTAAAATGTTTTATATGCTATTAGGCAATGTTATCACTATTTTTTTAGATTTAGTACTTTTTCACAGCAAATTATAATTAAATGAACTATTATTGGTGGGTAGATACTATTATTGGTGGTCTGTTTACCTATAAAATTAAAACTATACACACATTAAACACCAACAAAACTCAAAAATATTGTCTAAGTTACAAGGGTTAATTGAAATGAAATTATACTTTAATCAAATTCACTTATTGAAAGCTCATTCAAGAATTAAAAGTTATTAATTATGTATTCTACTAATATGGCCCCGTTGCTTATTTATTATAAATGGCTACACAACAAATAAGTTTCTCTTATATATATAAAAAAAAAAAAGTAGGTAATTGTGTTTGTAGTGGTAGTGATTGTGAAGAGTAATAGTACAATGAATGACTGGAGCAAATTAGTCACCAACTTTACTTCCACTTTTGTCAAGCAAAGAGAGGTATACTGTGGCTTTTCGTTTTGTAATGTGACGTTACTCACTAAGTATGTGAGTTTTGATAAGTAGTTTGTGGAATGCCATACGTTTATTTGAGTGTGAACTATAGAGAAACTTAATTGCTATGAAAGAAATGATACTTAGCAAAACAATGACAGTACACATAAGTTATTTAAACATCAATATTACTTATTAGCTTATTTAAAATAAGGAACAAATGTACTCCCCCGGTTTATGATGCAGCAGTTCACACTTTTATCCTTTATCCTTCAGTTTTTCTTATGAATAATTCTTGAACTTCGAAATTTCAAATTTTTCTTCACAAGTATAGTTTTGACAAGGCGGTCGTTCGTTACGATTTTGATGGTGCAATAATTTAAATATCTAGGATCCTATCTTTGGGAAAACGATACTACATAATATTTATAGCCTAATCTACACTGTGAAATAACTTTTACTAATATAAACCACGAAAAATTGTATTAAAATTAAATTACAAAACAGCTGATACACTTTGACAAGTTCACCGGGTGCGTTCCGAAACCCGTCGTTAAAACGTGGCGCCACCCGACGCGTGTAGAGTCAAATTAAATGTACTATTTTTTGATTAGAATCACATTAGCAACATCCTACGCGACGCGATGCGCACACACTGATCATAGAAAATGCGCGTCACTTAACAAAAGTCTGTTTCGGCCTTAAGCCTAGTCCTAGAATAAGCACTGTTAAGCTTTAATTATGGGATACTAGGGTAACAAACTGTTATGCCTTAGTTATGAGATACTAAGGTAACAGATAGAATACATAATGAGTGATACATATATACGTATATATACTTATATAGAAATCCATATAAACATCCATGACTTGGGTATAAATGCTAACATTTGCCCCACACAACACAACACGACACATGAAACCCGGCGTACAAGCCACTCGGCCACAGTGGCCATCATTATAATAACAATATATTGCAGTATGACGATTGTGGCGAGTGTTTAAAGATGTCCATTGTATGATTGAGATGACGTTTAAGCAGACAGAAAGTAGTCTTAGAAACTATTGTAAAAAAAACGCGTGACGCGCAGAAGGTACGCGGAGGCTGCGAGTCATCAACCTACTTTTGAGATGGACATTAATATTTTATATACTAGCTGACTTGGCGAACTTCGTCCCGCCCAAAAGTAATAATTTGCAATATAATAATATTGCGACTATAAATTGAGATGTAAGCTTTCCTTTCTCTCGAGTCGGATCAAACTGCACATGGTGTGCAAATTTGATTAAAATCAGTTAAGTAGTTTAAGAGTCCATCCCGGACAAACAACGTGACGCGTAATTTATATACAGGGTGAAATTGAATGTTTCTATGAAACTTCGTGAGATTGTTGGGTTACGTGTATAGATAATGCCTGATTTTTTTCGGATTTTGTAAAATAAAATTTTTCGATTTTTTATTTTTTATTTGGTTATTTTTTTGTCATTTCTTCCTTATGAGTAATTATTCATTTTAAACATGTCTGCATAGAAGTTATAAAGCAACTTAAAATAAGCACTACTAAAAAAACGGAAACTTAATGAATGCCTTCATTATGCCTCCAGTCGAGATCAGCGCCGGTCGGGGCGACGACCGGCGCGGCGGTCGCCTGTGTAGGTACTTATTACACGCACAGATGACTCGGCGCTTACCTACTCTCCGCTTTGATCCACACTATTTTAAAACATTACAATAAAATAGTCTTAGATGCTTTATTATAATTATTTATTCACTGATACACAATACCTTTGAATATTATTTCATAAGATTAGTTAAGGTTATTCTGCCTGAAGCCACGCTTTTTGCCATGTGTTCTGTTTCCGACATCAATACCTTTGAATATTATTTCATAAAGCACAGGTAATTAATCAATAAAATAAATCTTCTGTTAGAGCAATTAAAAATCCTATAAAGTTAATGACTGTCACGATTTTAAATCGGTAAAGCCTGTCTGTTAGTTAGTGTAAGAACTTCTTTTTTATTGTTAATGTTAGTTACCTCGTTTAATTAAAACTTAAGCACAAACGGCTTATTTAAAATTGTGAAAAATCATACAGAGCAAATCGGTATAACTTACGAGCTTAGTGAAGGAAGGAACTCTTCGTGTCTGATTTGCACACGTCATGAAATTCCCAAAACGTTTAATCACAGCCACAGTCACACACACACACACATACATAATAATATGTTGTTTTGCGGCAAGCACGGGCGAGCGGCGCGCCGCACGCTGGCAACTAGCGCCGGTTGCGGCGTCTTTGATGATGTGAATTCCGCCCACCTCCCATCTTCCCCGCACGCGGTGGTTTGCTTTGATTGCATGCAAAACGCAGTCGCAAGTATATCAATCGCGCGTGAGCGTGCGCATCTTTTGACTTAGTGACATACACTGTGATAATTTCATTATGCCTCGGTATACGAACCAAGAATATTTAGAGATGGTGTACTGCTATCGCGAGTGTGACGAAGTAGGTTTGGTTTACGAATGAGTCCCCAAACCATAGAAGTTGCATTTTGTGCAGTCAGTAGTGATAGGGACACTTTAAAAAAGGTGAAAAGACACGTCCGCAAACATGCCTACCTTTGTTTGCAGCAAAATTGTGGTTTAGAGCAACAATTTTGCAGATAATAATTTAAGTCTCTTTTTATTGCTAGTGTAAATACTTTTTGATTAGAAACAACTAATTGTGTACTACCAGTGTGATTGATTTGATAAAAAGTTCTAGTGAAAAAAATGAATATGTTCCTCGTTGTACCTACTTACATCGCCGGTCTCGTAAGTACTTTTGAATACCTGGTTATAAATTTCATTCTGACCCAAGTATTGAACTGCATTAAGTATTTCTTTTTGTTTAACATTTGCCTATTTCCAATCGTGACAAAATTATTATTAACTTTTAAAGTTTTTCTCTGCTTAAGAGAAGATGACATTTGTGCTTATTATTTCAATTTCAATAAAGGCATCTAAGCCGATTTTATTGTATTGTGTGGAATCAAACGAGTCAGCTGAGCTCTGTGTAGAGCTAGGTACCTATTCACTCAACGGCTGGCGGGCGCGGTCGGTCGTTGACCCGCGGTGAAATTTTAATGTTTTTCCGTTTTTTAGAAGTGCTTATTTATTAGTTGTTTTTCACTGGATATGTAAGTTTGTTTGTTAAAAATGAATAACTACTCAAAAGGAGGAAAGGACATAAAAATACACAAATTATAAATAAATACATGAAAAAAATATACTTCAAAAAAATCCGAAAAAAAACAGGCATACTCTATACACATAACCCAACAATCTCACGAAGTTTCATAGAAACATTCAATTTCACCCTATATATTAAGATAAGTCATTTTTCAAATAAAAAGATTATAATTATGATTAGTGGTGTATACCTTAGGAGATTTGATCTTGGATTCCTTCTTTTCTTCAACAATCTCCTCCTTTTCATCAGCATCCCAATCCTCTTCAGTTGAAGAAGCATCTTCTTCTTTAGATTTCACAGAGCTGTTCCAAATTAATAAGTTAGTATAGCTCATAAACATATTAATAAATAGATGAATGGTACAAAAATGGCTTATAATTTGAATATTAATAGTTTGCTTTTTTTTGCATGAACTTAAAAATATGAACTAGTGATAACTAATTTTATAATATTAATTAATAACTAGCAAACCAGTGAACCAAATGTTCACCAAAAAAAAAAATTTAATTAATTGAGAACTTCAGAGATTTTGTGTGGTTTCGTTTGAAATAGAAATCACGTGATTTCTCGAAAACCGGAAGTGCTACGTTACTCAAATCCGGTTTGTTGTCTTATCAGACTATTCTTAACTTATAACTTAAACATTCTCTTTATCTATCTCTTACGGTTTGGCCGCTGAAACAGCACCACGGACGGACGGACGGATGGACTTGTCTAATAGATAAGAGATTTGTAAACTCTGTTAGTGAAAATGAGAGCCATCATTGGCATAGCTATCTAGAGTAGAGAGAGCTATCTCTTCTGGATAAATGTGTAATTAATTTCTTACCCATTAGTGTAAACATGAAAGAGTAGTTATTTCTTCATATATAACTTTTTACTGCAATTTCATCCTACATCAAAGTATTCCATTATCTCAAACTTGTTACATGTACATGCAACAAGGCAGGTAAGACTGCTATGCTGTTTCTGTAGAGCACTTATTTCTGTTTACTTTGTATGTTATGCCATTTAAAATTTTGCCAAATGAGATAACTCCCCATTACCATGAAAACACCCTCGGTATCACTTAAAATTTCCATCATCTCTCTGATGGTTGTTCTCTCATACATACCATTTTCAAATTGTTTGTCATACCTTGTGTCTGTTTACTGTTTCTCGATATAAAATACATGATCATTACATCAATTTCTTTTATTAAATATAAGATGTACAAATGCCATCTGTTCTGGCTTCTGGCTCAGGATGCTCAAGCTGTAATCATTCATAAGAAACTAATTTAAATATTCAATAGTGATTATCAATTACCTTCTCCCTTTGATAGATTTGAACGCGCGGGTATAGCCAAGCGAGCGGTCATTGAATCTCCTGGTGGTAAAGGTGCCGCGAGAGCGCGGGGCGCCGCGGAAGGAGGCGCGCGAGCGCATGGTGCGACCTCGGAAGGAACGCCGAGTGGCGCGGGGCCGCACTGACGAGCGAGGCGGTTCTCGCGGCGGACCCATGCCACTAGGCTTGCGATATGTTTCACGGTTCGGTGAACGTCTTCTGTCTTCCCCACCGAATGACCGCCTTTCACTGTTGTAACTATCTTGCCTACCGCCGTAGGATCCGCCGTAATGTCCGCCGCCATCATGGCTACGTCTATCGCTCGAGGACCCCTGTACATAACTCTCTATGGTTCTTCCGACAAATATTGTAAATCAATCAAATAAAATAATAATAATTAAAAGAATCCTCTTTTAAATGTTATTGATTGAAATCCTCTTTGTACAATTTAAAACGTTAGGTCCCAGTGTAAACACTGTCTACTGAATATTTTTTATTGTTATTTTATTAATGTACAGAATGTGGAGGCAATCATTATAACAACCTTCTAATAAAAAATTCTGATGTAGTTGTGGGCAATTAACCATAACTTTGCTTAATATTATTTGATATTTACTTCTGCCCATTAAAGTATTTCAAAATTTCCACTGTGAGAAGTCGAACTGTTCAGGCAGGGCAATATGGACAATCTCCAATTTACCTCACATTTTAACAGTTACTGTTGTTGAATACACAATACCATATATTAAACCCAATATCTATACAGTTGTACACATATTTTCCTCATTTCTTACTTTTAATAATTTGTAGTTATGAGTTTAGGACAACAATATATTCATATTTAACAGCTTTTCTAAGACTAGTTCCATTTAACTTTTTTCACAACTGTTCATAGCATGTGTCATTAAACTCCTTTTTAATTCCTTCCCTTTTTCTTGGGTTACACCATCTTTCAGAGGCGGCCTTACCGAGTGTGGGAAGTGGATTACAATTAATTGGTCTGTAGGAGAATAATTTTTATAGGTATGCTACTAGAAGTTACAAAAGAAACATTTTACTGGTTTGCTTGTTTTACAGTATCATGCATTGGTTCATTCAATGTCTGTAATATAAATGATGCTCTTTTCTTCAGTCATTTCTGCAGTGAACAAGTATTTCTTAACTTGGATTCCTTGCGTAGATAATAATTTCTCTTATCCCTAAGGCCGCCACTGTAGCATTGTAGTGTTTCTGACTTATCTATAATGGATATACCTAAAAACTCACCTCAATTCTCATTCTTTTGCGATCAGGTGATCCTGATCGACCTCCATAGTCACGGTTTGAATAACTGGCAGAACTTTCCTAAAACAAAAGTTTAAGACATTATCGATTGTGATAGTAAAAATTAAAGTAGTTTGTAAATGTCATGAGAATTCAGACATATTTTCTAATCTTACTAATGACTAGAGATTGTTTAATAACTTACGGATCTATAATTTTTCTTGGAATACGAATCTTCCATTCTGTCTCGGTTACCGGTATAACGGTTGCCACTGCTATTATACCGTGAATCGTTGTTGTACGAAGAGTAACCACCTCCACGTCCACCACGACTCTCGTAAGAGCCGCGGTGGCTACTTCCACGGTAAGACCCTCTGTAGCTGCTGCCGCGCCCATTGTAACTACCTCTGTTACTGTAACCTCCGTAACCTCGTCCTCGTGAAGACATCTGTAAAATAGTTTCATTAGTTATTCATGTACATTGAAATATCGAAAATGACATGGACAACAGAAAACTGTTATTATTGTTTTACTTTTTTCGCACTATTAGAATGTAAACAACTGAAATAGGTAATACATTCAGTTAAATCTTGTTCCAACAAACAAGATGGAGGAGGCCACCGTGAACGCGTCAGTCACAAAGTATTTGTGAAACAAGGACTTAATAGATGCCAAGCAGATGATTCTAAAAAAAGGTAAATGAAAACATACTTACCTTAAAAATGTTTCGCCAATATTAAAATGTGTTCTTTAATTTATCAAAGTTATATCTACTTCATAGAGAAAAGTAATACACTGGAAAATCTACTTTCGTAGATACGCTTTGAGCTCAGTGTTGCTATTGAAAAATATCTGCGAGGCCAACTGTTTTTTTTTTTAATTTATTCTGGCCGTGGAACGAGGCCAACTGTGCAACCCAGTGTTGCCAGAGCCTGCACGACAAAAGTTGTCAATGGTATTGATTCTGGCACAATTCCCTAAACCTAAACTTACACCCATATTCTTAGTCGCGTCCTCAAACGCTCCTCGACTCTAACTCATTCGAGCGCTCCTTAAGGAGTTCCTCCAAATAACCTCGAAAATGATATTCTAGTAGGTATCTTGAACAAACTTGAGAATTCCTCCACTGAGAGTACAAACAAAGGTGTAAGCATAAAAGCATAGACATACAGTTTGTCTATAAAGTCGTGACATTAAATGATGGCGCCACTATTATGCATGTAGCAACCCTGTATAGTCTGACCAAAATGATTTTGATACTAGCAGTTCATTCAAGGAAATTAAGTAATGGAGGAGTACACGCAAAGCTCAACGTAGATGGCGCTGCAAATACTTGGCCAAAAGCACAGCGAACAACTGCGGCTGTCAAATTTTAAACTCCATTTTTTTTATTGTTAATATAATTATGTGCTGAAAATGTATGCAACATTGTCTATAATACAGCTGTAAACAGAGTTGAAAAGAAGAGGAGCATCTGTGCAAGGCATAAAAGCTGATCTTGTAGAAAGGTACTGGGCCCAATTCTGGCGTGCCAACTTATATCTAAAACTAACTAAAATTAGATATAGAGTTGTCAAATTCAATTTGGTATTCTGTAATGACACAACTGTTTCTATTATCATGCTAGAATGCTCATTCTCAGTACATAGATGCATTTTCCATAATTATTTTAATAGTTCATGGATTTCAGTAACTTTTAGCGGGCTTTTTAGTCAAAGCTATCTTATTTTTGCATCAATCGAACATCTAATAGTGTAAGGAATTACAATATATTTATTGATTCATACTTGATTTATATTTATAATATGATTATCTTCTTTTGTTAAGTGTAAAATTAGTCTACCTAATAACCTTTGCGTTCGCTCACGCGGTGCAGTGACATTCCTTTCGCACAGCCAGCGGCGATTCATTCTCTCGAGTGACACAGTGTCGGACGGTCGTCTCGTAAAGTTATACCGTTACAATACTTAAAAGTGTAAAAGGATAACCGAACTGTTGAAAGTAAGTACGATAAAATAATAATTATGTATCTTCCCTAAACGTAGCTGTTCCAATAATTTCAGAAGTGGAATAGGCAGGTATTATTTTACTAAAACACTTGCTTATCCCGCCCACGTGATTTCGATAAACGTATATTTTTGATATTATTTATTCTTAATGTGGGTATTGCCTGCCATTGACAAACATAATTTCAAAAATAAACCTTCATAGTAATTTAAAAAATTTTAGATAACGTTTTTTTTGTTCTTGTATACTTTTTTCTTTTTTATCTAAATCTAAAGTTGACACTTTTTAAGTGCATGATTATGTTGTTATTGCATACCTCCGGGGTTTTTAAGGCGGTCGGAAAATTTACCATTTTCACGCTACGGACGCGTACTTTTTGAGTTATTAACGATTTTGTAAAAAAAAAACATTAAGAAAATTACGAAAATTATTTTGCCACATGTATGGAAAACATAACAAGCTAGTTTTATTTATTTTCTTCTTCTTTCTTTCCGTATTTTTTAACTACCCTCATAACTTAAGCTATTTTTTTTAATTCTACCCTCAGAATATATATTATTGAATTGACTTTTATTCTATCTCTATTAGAGATAAGTCCTCCCTTACATACACTACTGCTTTGATTTTTTTTTTATGTTTTTTTATGTGTATATTTAGTGCAATAAAAAGTTTATACGTGTAGTCCATTGTGATTGAAGATGCACTAGCAGCGACTAAACTTTACGGTCGTGAGTTTCAGATAAAATGGAGCACAGTAGCGAGCAGGCACGGCTTGCTGATCATAGTAACGTGACTGCGCAGACTGACACGGAAATGGAGAACGCCACTGCTGGGTGTAGCCGGCGTTCTCGGCTGCGGTCGACTGAAATATTGAGTGAGGGAGCGGAAGGGAGCCCTGAAGGTGGGCAAAGCCGCAAGCACTTATATAACAATGAATTTAGCCCGGTTATCCCGGTGAGTGGGAGACCGTCGCGTTTAAGAGCGCGTAGGTCAAAAGAACTGAGCAGGGAGTCGTCGAGGCAACACCAGTATGGTGGGGAGTCTCGACGACGACGGTCTAGGGATGGATCTATATCGATAGATCGCGTGGCGCATTTTAGTCGCGCTAGGTACGCTGAAGAGCGATCGTATCGTAGACCACGTAAAGGGTCAGTGTATGAAAGTTGTTCACGCAGCAGTTCTGAGGAATGCTTACGCAATAAAGATTCTAGGAGTTCGTGTGCACGTCAGGGTAACGATAAACTTTATCATAGTAGCAGTTCAGATAGTGATCGTTATTCAAATAGTAAACGAAAAAAAGTTAGTTCTCGTTCCCCTGTCGTTAGAGCACGTGCTCGTAGAATAAGTCAAAATAATAAAAGATGTGATGACGTAGATCTATCAAAATATTTTAGATAAGTTTTTGGACATATTAAAAGGTATGAAAGGTCGTACTTCACCAAAGTTGTCTTCAAATAATGTACTACCGGAATTCGACCCAATGTCTAGTGACCAAACTGTGTTAATGTGGCTCACAAAAGTGGAGGAGTGTGCTGAGATTTATGGTTGGAGTGAGAAAGAAATTATCCACTTTGCCCTTCCGAAATTAACGGGCGTGGCGAAATCTTGGTACCAGGGCCTCAGCACAGTCCTCTACTCCTGGCCCGAGTGGAAAAGAAAACTAATCGAGTCTTTTCCTTGCCGTGAAGATTATGCGGAGTTGTTAACAGTTATGCTAGCAAAAAAGGCAAGCTATGGAGAATCATTTGAACAGTATTATTATGCTAAGATGAATTTATTGAATAGGTGCGGTATTAAAGGTAGGAAAGCTGTAGATTGCCTTTTAAATGGGATAGAAGATCGTGCTGTGCGTGTTGGAGCACAGGCAGCTCAATTTCGTGAACCAGAACAACTGTTGATGTATTTGAAAACGGTTAAAATAGGTATGCTTAGGGACGTAGGCGATAGGCAGAAACAAGACAAAAGAATAAGTGCTATTTTACCGTCCGCGGTTCGTCGAATAGATTCAGTTAATAAATTTACATGTTTTAACTGTAGTGAAGAGGGTCACAAGAGCTATCTATGTACCAAACCTCTATCTAAATGTACAAATTGTAATAAATTAGGTCATACAGTTAAGTTTTGTAAATTTCCTAATAACAGCAACGTTCGAGATAAAAGTCAAAAGGATATTATAGGCGAACAAAATGAAAAGGATGTTTCTCAATTAGGCTCATCAGGAGAATCAAATTCAAAATATTATATTCGATATCTTAGTCAATGATGTTCAATTACAATGTCATGTCGACTTAGGTAGCCAGTGCACGCTCATAAGAGAAAGCGAAGCAACACAATTGAATCTTGTAATAGATGCAGTAGATTTGCCATTGATGCGAGCTATTGGAGGTTATCATGTAAAACCCATAGGTCGGTCCAGAGCTAACATATCCGGTCAAGGCATACAGGCAAACGTTCAGATACTTATCGTTGAGGATCACGTATTAAAATATCCTGTCCTTTTAGCACACATTTACAGAGTTACCTAATATTTTAGGTTTAAAGAATTTTATTTCTCATACGAACTTACACAGACAGTTCACTTAAAATGAGATACATAACTAAAACTAATAACTTAATTGAAATGACACAGCGCAGCTGCTTTATAAAACTATAATTTAGTACAATAGGTAGGCAAACTATTGTTACTAATACAAGCAAAATACAAAAATGCAATCTGGCATGTTTACGAGCGAATTACATACATAGAATACAAGTAAAGCGCTGACTTCGCCCATGCAAGTGGGCCATCGAAATTATTGCCACACGGCGGAAATGCTGTCGCTGCGAAACGTGAACGCCGCGCCGCCGTGTGACCGCCGTCGCCGTGACACCAGGGCCATCGTCATCGGATCACTTTGATTCTCATGCTCTTTAAGTCTATGTTCATCTGCTCTATGTTAGTACAACCTAACTCTTGTAAACAGTTTGCAAAACAATCTTGATATTTATTAATTAATTCAAGGAGTCTAAGTCGGTCATGTTGCTGTATATTTCCAACTATTACTTCATCTAAGGTGAAGGGCTTGTATAGAATAAAATCAGACTATTTTGTTAATTTTGTGAATTCCCACAGACTTTAATACAACATCAGCTCTTGCGATTAGTTCATCTTTCTTAAATCTAATAGGAATCGATATGGGTTTAATGAGAACAGCACCCTTGCCCTGGACAAGACTATAAAGTCCTTCTAATAAAATATATTCTTTACCCATCTGCCCTCTATACCCCCCATTAACATAAAACGTACCAGTATAACTATTATCACAGTGAACATCAACTAGCCCTACCTCGCGACATATAGTGCTGTCAAGAACTCTTAATTCCAAACGTGCATCACAACAATCTTCGTCAGAATTCTCAATCAACAACGCCTTATCAGTCTTAATAATTTTGACATGTGGTTGTTCAGTGAACGTTTGACCTATGAGAACTGGATATCTGGAGACTCAACAAATATGTCTTGAATATATATAATTGAATATCAGAACCATTACTAAAACTTTGATTTATGTTCATTACGGTTTTATTATTGAGTGATGTTATTTGGCGAAAACACTCTGTGTCTATATGTCCAACAGCTGAACATTTGTTACATTTCCTTATTGGCTTAGAACATTTTGAAACAGGGTGACCCTCTTCCTTACAGTTGTAACAACTAATTACTCCGTTTTTAATAACGTTAGTCCTAGTTACTGGTTTGGTGTTAGTGTTCACTTTTCTAGTATGGGGTTGTTCTGGTTTACGAATATTAGCCTTTCTTAAATAAGACAAAAACATGGCACAGTTGCTGAACTGTGCTGCCTCCGCTCCT